AACACAATCTCCTGGAACACTTGTTAAAAACAAATTCCTAGGTCCTGTTCAGATCTTGGATTCTAAAACTTTTTGATATAAAAATACATTTTGTTTTTTCTTTCTGGCTTATTTTGCTGAGCATGATCCCTTCTAGCTCCATCCATGTTGCTGCAAATTGCATGAGTTTATCTTTTTTGATTGCTGAGTAATATTCCATGGTGTACATGTACCACAACTTCTTGATCCAGTCATCTGGTTTCGGTCATTTGGGTTGTTTCCATGGGGGAGAGGGGAGGAGGGAGTAGGATCAAAACAAGGGGGTGGGAATTGTACGGGGACTATAACCAAGATGAAAATGCATACATTGTGCCAAAATGAAAAATGATGTAAAAAAATATAAAATTAAAAAATATATATCATTAAAAAATAAAATAAATCTTTAAAAAATATACATTTTGCATAGATAGAACACGTGCCCATTTTACTGAGTTCCTACTGGGTTTCAAGCACTGTGCTTGATAGTGGTGGGTGTCAGCATGCTGTGGTCAAGAAGAAAGGCCAGGAGGACCACAGAGATTTTGGCAAATGATTTCATTAAACCGATGGACCTTCTTCTAGACCTATCATTATGAGAGGAAAATACCCCCTATTTATTTATTTATTTTTAAAGATTTATTTATTTATACAAGAATGGGGGTACAGGCCAGATGTGCGGAGGGTAAGAGGATTCACCAGAGACAGAGCGGGGAACAGAATAGGCAGATTGACGAAATAAACTGCTGAGGGGAGCAGCGGGCGAGATAGGAGAGGTCTGCAGAATCTTGTGGGTATCTCCCCGGCCAGCAGGGATCGAACCCACGCTAGAGGCTGCAGACAGCTTCACAGCGCTGTGCTCAACCACCTGCGCCACCCAGGGGAGCCCCCCCTGTTTATTTAAGCCATTGTCATGAGGGTTTTTGTAGTTGTTACTTTCTCGCTAAGGCATTTTATATTATTACATTTACAAATCTAGTAAACTCAAATAAAACTAATCACTTTGGGGAAGAGAGTCTTTGATTAATGTTTGATTAACTTAAGTTGAAGAAGCTAAACTCCCTTAAACTATCAGTCTCACTTACAAGCATCATTTATTCAAATCTCTCAAACATTTAAAACTCCTAATGTAGACACATCACGTTACTTATCAGTACTTCAGTACTTCAAATAATTGACCTGGCAAGTGGCAACCAATTAAGCCAAATGTTCTCATAAACTTCTCTTCTAAATCTAATAAATTAAACTTATAAAAAAATTGCAACTCTAATACTATTAATGAGCTAAGTTAATTTTTTGTACACCTTTCAACTTCAAAAATCAAAGCCTAAAATCAAATTTGCATTTTAAATTGGAATCATGTTTTTTAAACATTAAAATTACTCACATAAGAAGGAAACACAAGAACATGAAAAAAATCAATTGATGTATTTCATCCTCTCCCCATGTAATTTTGAACATCCCCAAACTTGGAAAGTCACTTTTACTCAACAAGGAAACATATTTTCTTTCTCCAAGGAGTCAGGATGACTGGATCTAGCACTCATGACCACAGTTGGGTGGCAGCTCAGGTCACTTGAGGTTGCTTAGCCACAATGACCAAGGAGAGAGACACCCTCAGACGGGTTTGATTTTAGAGGCTTCTTTCTATTTACCTCTTAGTATTTTTAATTTTAAACCAGACTAGAAGCAAGTCAAGCAACGCCAGCCCACCCACATCAGCTAACTTCCTTCATCGCTTCACTAGCTTCTGGGTTGCCTTCTGCAAATACTGCTGACATTTCCTTCACCCTGAGGACAGCTTTAAGTCTGTGAATTCAATCCTGAACACTTGGCTCTGAGCCAGGACTCTAAAGTCATCATATTAACACACACCATCCCCTTCCTTGTGACTTTGTGGAATTCCCAAAATGAGATGATGGCGCCTCCCATTTCACCAGAAAGACTGTACTTACCTGGGCAGGCTCTTGGCTTCAGTCGGCCTATGGACATCCTTGTGAACTGGGGTCCCAGGAGGGGGTGCCATCTGGTCGCAAGCTCAGGTGCATCCCTGCATGCTCTCCACTTCAGGATGGGTCTCCTGAGCACCCCCACCTGTTCTCGCCATTCTCCTCCCACAGGTAGATGAGCCCCTCCATTTTTGAATGTCCAGCCTTTTTGCTCCGGGCAGGGCCATAGCAGCAGAGCAGAAGATCAGCTGTTTACACTACTCCTTGTTTGTAGATGTGTGGGGATTGGAACGTGCCAGCTGGTCCCACTTAACCCAGTTATAACGGAGTTGAGGCCTGAACAAGTGAGTTCTACTTCTCAAGCCTCACTTCTCAAGCCTCATTGATAACTATGTTTTTTTCTGGTGATAGATATTCCTAAAAGATATTTACAATTTTAAAAAGTACGTCAATTTGAATATTCTTTGAAAGCTCCACCACTGAGAGAAATCCATTGGTACATCATTTTTCTGAGGTGAATCACCCCTAATTTGTACCTTTGGCTCTCAGTGGAATGCCCTTGCTGAGGCTTGAACCAGTGCATCGACCATTTACTCCAGTTTCTCCAGCAGGGAAGTCATTCCTCCTTCCTTAGGGACAAGTAAGTGAGAAAGAGAAACAGGCCTTCCATCCACCTGCTTCTCTCCCTCCTCTTCTTTTTCCTCCTTCACAGAAATTTCTGAGATAGAAATTTCCATTTTGTAAGTAGAGGCAGGAACATTCAAGCATAAGGGAATTCCCTTCTGTATACATTTCATTGATTTCCTTGGCCCAAATTGATGTTATATTTCAAAACCGTGTCTGACAAATATCAGCCAATCTTAATGTTAACCCTTCAGAAGGGGATCTTTATACTCTTTATGCTGTTCCAACTTTACAGATTTCTTCGACTTGACCCTGTGATGTGTAGTCAGGGAATCTTTGTGCCCCCATCTCTGTCCTGAAAATATTTGTTAAAAGATCTCTGAGGAGGCCCCACCAGAGGGTCCCGAACTCCACCAGATGCACCTGAAGTCGTGCCTCGTTCCTTAAAGCAGCACCAGCAGAGATCACAGGTGCATTAAGAGTCGCAATTGACTCCATTCCCAGACAGAACGCGGCCGTGGTGCTTCGGGAATCTGTGCAGCGTCCGTGATCACCCGGGCCTGTGTCCCCAGAGGGGCGGCTGGGACTCTGCAGTCTTTTGTTTGGGAGTCCTTAACTCACGTGGCACTTCAACTCTCTTTTCTCCCTAGCGCCTCTGTACCTGAAAGCCTGGATTCAGATGCTACCCCTCACCCCTCCCCATCTTTCACCAGATGGTTCCCTCTCCACCCCACCCCAGGGGGCAAGGTTCTCACCCACATGTCAGCCCTCGGCCCTCAGGGCTGGCTCAACACCAGCAAAGACTCCTTGGGTCCAAGTGCTTTTTAACATAATGGGAAAGAAATTTATACATACAATATCAGTTCTTTCCACTGTAAAGCCAAAGTGTGTTTGTTATTCTGAGATTTGGAACTCACAGCACCTCTTTCCTATTAAAAATATAATGGACAACTGTGGCCAGGTTTCCACGCAGCCCCCTAAGTCTAGGGCTGCCACATGCAGATCAAACAATGCTCATTTACACTAAAGAGCTTGGGACAAATACACAATCCTGAAGACTTTTAAAAAAGAATAGACATGTGGGCCTCCCCAGTGGTGCAGGCGGTTGAGTGCAGCGCTGTGAAGCTGTCCGCAGCCTCTGCAGCATCACTTCAATCCCAGCCGGCCAGGGAGCAACCCACATGGCGCACAGACCTCTCCTGTCTTGCCCGCTGCTCCCCTCAGCAGTGGATTTCATCAGTCTGCATGTTCTGTTCCCCATTCCGTCTCTCGTGAATCCTCTCACCCTCCCTCATATCTGGCCTGTACCCCGGTTCTTGTATAAATAGATCTTAAAATATATATATATTTTAAAAAAATAGACATGAAATCTAAGAAAGTTTGTATTTATTACAAGGCGTAGACCTGGGGGCAAGCATGTTGAAAGAAAAATGAAGACATAGATAAAAGGTTTTTGATTCTAAAACAGACTTTCGGTACTTTAGATGTTGAGGATGTGAGCTCTTGTCATATCTAATTATATTTTAAAGGAAGAAATGTCTTCCTTTTCTCTGGGACAAATTTGTCCCCAGCTCTTACTCTTATTGATGCTTTAAGGGATTTTCTGTGTTGTTGGCTCGCAAATGGAATGAAGAGAGGTGAAAGGGATTTTCTTGAAGGAACTGAGTTCCAAAAAACAAAAACAAAAACAAAAAAATGAGCATAAGGAAGGTCTGGTGAAAGGGAATGTAGACTATCTGAGTGATGAATCCACCCATGAGGGAAAGACAGGTGATGGCCGAGGACTAGATCTGGCTTCCCCACGTGACACTTTGAAGCCCCATCAGTTCCAAACAGCCTGCTGCCATTTGAGGAAGGGTCAGTGTGCTTCGTGGGGCAGAGCGTGGGAGAGAAGGAAACTTCGTGCTGGGTAAAACCTGTATTTGCAGTGTCTGCTGACTGCTGTTGTGTGAATAATCCCACCACGGAAAAGTTCAAGCTACAAATGATTTGATAGCTGTCTCCTGAGAATTTAGCAATATTTAACAATCAGCTCCCCCTGGCTGGTGCCACCACTGGACCCCGCAAGGAACCACTTGTATGTTCAGGGAGTTGCCAGGCCAACCCACCGACTCAACCATGCGCGGTTCTGTGCGGTGAGGGTGACAACTTCAATATTTTGATCAATACTCATGAAGTTCAATAAGTGTCTCTGAAAAAGCCCATCTTTTGTTTAAAAGCCACCAGACATCAGAAAGCAGAAGTCCATCTGATTGTTTTAAATTTTAATCCAAGAATCCTCACATATTTAAATTCTTGGGGCTATGTTGATTTTTCTGATAACACTTTCCTTTCTATAAGTTTTTTAAAATTACATGAAAGAAAACACTGGTGACTTTTTGGAATATTAAAAACATATAAACCAGGCCATGTTCTTAGTAAAATTTTAATCCATTTCCAAAGGGAAGAGAGCATAGCTCTTGACCTGTTCCTCTGTTCATCCAAACATGACCAGACAGGGCTTGTGGCGCTTCAAGTATGGCGAATGCACTTAGCACGCCCAAGGCGAGCTAGCGACACCCAACACCCAACAGGGCAGCCGGCAGGCCCAAGAGCAACTGGACATGAGAACCACGGCGCGGTCTTCCAGCATCGCCTGCCGGGCTGCTGCTTACACGGTCACCATGATCTGTTCCAGAGGTTTGCGTTTCAGGTCAGGCACCGTGGCATCCTTGCTGGGGTACCCCACAGGGAGCAGCAGCAGCAGCTTTTCATTTGGGGGGCGGCTCAGGAGCGCCCTCAATCGGGGGCCACAGTTGAGAGGCGAGGTGGTAACTGTCACCAGCCCCGCATTCTGAAACAGGAGAAGAACAGATCGTGAACAGCTACACCAGAGGGTGACAACAGCGACAGGAGCTCCTAGGCAGGTACAACCCCCGGAGGTGGTCAGCATCTGCAGTTGAAATGCCTCTGGCTGGTGATAGACCCGAGCAACCTCTGCTCAAACCCTGCAAATGAAAAGCATCTAATAAAAGTCACATGCAGCTTCAAGACACTTCTGCAGCGGGCCCTCCCAGCACCCCTGCTTTTGCAATCAGATGGCCGGTGCTAAGTCTGAGCAGAAGGAAGCTCTGGAGCTGCCCAGAGTCTGGTTTGGTCCAGTCACTGTGCACTCTGTCCACTCAGGGCTTGGGATGACTCCTCTGTCCACCAGCAAAGCCATGGCCTCTGCTCACAAGGCCGCTGGAAGCTAGGGGGCAGCAAACTCCACAGCAAAGCCAGCGCTGCCGGCTCCAGGTGGACACCAGCCTCTGCTCATGTTTACAAAATCAGGAAAGAAATCAGATGTCAGCTCCGGTAGCCCAAATTTTTAATAATCTAAAGCCACATTCCTTTTTTGAACAACTGTGACTATTTGTAGAGTGTTTCGACACATACGTTTTCCTTTGAGAAAGTGAAGGAGCACATGGTATTGGCGGAATCAATGGTCCCTTGAAAGAACGGTCACTCACTCTTGTGATCTTGTTTGGTTATTTTACATGTTTACTCTTTCTCCAGCCTTACCAGAACCTCAGTCCCCACCCAAATGTACGGATCATGAGATTATTCCATGTGCCTTCTGGGATCTATCACATAAAAGATGCTCAGAAAATATTTGCTGGCTGAAAGAACTGAATCTCATGAAGGGTACAGCTCGGTCCTGCTCTGTTCCGCACTCAGCACTGCTTCAGGCACGACTACCATGGGATTTTTAAAGCACACGCCAGGGGCCTCCCTTGTGGCACAAGGGGTTCAGCATCAGCACTATGAAGCAATCCGCAGCCACTGCAGCATGAGTTCGATCCCTGGCTAGGGAGCTACCCACATGGCACAGCAGACCTGTCCTGTCTCCCTGCTGCTCCCCTCAGCAGTCTGCCTGTTCAATCAGTCTGCCTGTTCTGCTCCCCACTCTGTCTCTGGTGAATCCTCTCACCACCCCTCCTCTGGCCTGGACCCCAGTTCTTGTATGCATACATAAACTTAAAAAAAAAAAAAAAGCACATGCCACCTTCTAATGCTACATCATGTTACCTCTACCCCTTCAGAAAAGAGCTCTAGGGTAGAGCCCCCTGGAACTTGTCTCTCATGCCATGGACGCAGGCAGCTCAGTAAACACAGCTAAGAAGCCCAGCCCCAGAGCTCACAGGCTCTGACACGCTTTCTGAGCATCTGCTCAAACCTTAGATGCTTCGGGTTGATCCAGATGAAGGCAAACACAATGGCCACTTTCATGACCCTGAAACACTGTTCTAAGTGAATTTTTGAGGAAGAATTCCAGCTTGTTGAACAAACACACTCCCCAGGCCCAGTTTCCAGAGTCAGTTTTCACAGCAGCATTACCATCCTGAGGAGTTCAACTTTTGATCAGTATTTTTCAAGTGTCCCCACGCTAGAAGCTCAGCTGAAATTTGTGAATAAGGTCCCTGTTGGTCTCCAGGTATCACTTCTTTCTGCGGCTGGGTGGGAGGTGACATACCTGCAGGGCAGCCAGGAGGATCCCACAGGAGATGGAAACACTGATCTCATTGTAATAATGGACCCTTTTTTTGCCATTTGCAGCAAAGCCATATATTTGTTTGAAAATGAGGATCAAAACGGGAGCCGTGTCCAAGTACTCTTTAATCCAATTGGTTCTGGAAGGGGAAAAAGATATTTCAGAGAATATTTCCTCAATGATTTCTGCTTTCCTTTTGCTAGCCTAGCTTATTTCCATTGAAAAGAGAAACACAGTTACTTGTCTTTTACGTTTAAATTGAAAATAAGCAGGTTTTTTTGTGTGTCACATCCAACTTCTCCTATCCAGGGCCATTCAATCCAGTAAGCAGGTATTAGTGAGGCCATAGGACAGCAAGACATCTGGGACACTAACAGATACAAAGAGGCGCCTATAACCCAGAGAGCAAAACCCAACCTGGTCAGTCACTGCTATTAAAGATGTATAATCCAAGTGCATTAGGGCCTGCCCCAATGAAACATTAATTTTGAACATCTTCATTTTGAATTATTTCCAAGAAGATTTCCAACTTGCCAACTGTGTCTCTGCTGGGTCTCCAACTTGCCAACTGCTGATCTTGGGACAGCTCAGCCTCCTTAGCCACATATGTCAGTTACTTACAATAAAATCTGTGTGCGCCTGCATATGAGTGTGTGAGCTTGTATCTCTCTCTCTATCTCTCTGTCTCTGGTTCTCTCTACATTGATGTTCTTTCTCTGGAAGACCCAGACTAATATACTTCGAGAGAGTAAAGGATGCCCAAGGTCTTGCAATTGGAAAACTAGAGTTAGGATTTAAACCTAGATCTGCTTCCAGCCCATAGCCCTAACCACTCCATGTACTCATGCAATGCAGTGCTGAGTCCTAATTTTTTTTTTTAATTAACCATTTTATTTTATTTTTTTTAAAGATTTTATTTATTTATTTATACAAGCACTGGGGACAGTCAGAAGCGCGGGAGGGTGAGAGAATTCACCAGAGCCAGAGCGGGGAGCAGAGCAGGTAGAAGGACCGAAGTACACTGCTGAGGGGAGCAGCGGGTGGCAGGAGAGGTCTGCGCGCCATGTGGGACCCTCCTCTGGTGTCTGGGGAGCAGCCAGGGATCGAACCATCGCCACAGAGGCCGCAGGCAGCTTCGCAACCCAGCGCTCAACCACTGCGCCACGGGGGAGACCCTGCTGAGGCCTAATTTAAACCCGCCATTCTCCCAGAGATAGTCAGGCTTTGTCAACTCTTAAAATCAGTGATTTCATTTTACTTAAAAACAAAAAACAAAACACCAAGGCCAACACTCTTTATTCTGCCAGTGGTACCTGAGTTTCTTCAGGTCTGCCACCCATCGTTGACCCATCCTTTTCAAGTAGTTGATTTCCTCCTCCTCCTCAATGATCTCCCGAATCTTATGCTTCATGTCTGCGTCCTTTACCACCACAAAGGTCCAGGGCTCTGTGTGGGCCCCACTTGGGGCTGTTCCTGTCACCCATTAAATGAAAATCAGACATTAAAACCGTAGGGAAATGTGAGAATATTAATTCAGCATAAACATGATAACTCACACTCGCTCGAAATGAAGTTAGATCGTGCAGCCCACAGGAGCTTGACAGAATGCTAGTAGATCGCTGCTGCTCATTTCACTCAGCCTCACTGTAGCAGGTCTCCAGGCAGCCCACTGAGGTCAATGCCAAGGCTCTCAGGCTGTGGAATGTATCACTGCTTCTCTAATCTCGTGGGAGAAAACATCCCTCAGTAACCAAATGACCACTAAGGGAACTCATAGGAGAAAACCTGGAGCCAACATTCTCTAAATGTCATGTGTTTTGATATTTCTGGAAAAGGATAAAGCCATAAAACTTAATGAAAATGCTAAAATTTGAAAGGTAAAATGACTTTACAGACACTACCTAAGAGGTAACTAAGCCATAGGTTATCTGCTACTTACACGGAAACCGAGGGAGGCACGGTGGGGCTGTGGTCTCGCTGGCACGCACCAGTGTGTCTTCCAGCTCTCAGCCTACACCTGCATCCGCCCGTGTCTGAGTTTCACAGCGCAGTGTGGTGCCCACAAGCTTGAGCTCCTGGTGGGATCCCAGCCAGCCTGGGGCCTCTCCTGACCACACGTCACCCCTCTGTCCTAGCAAAGGCTCACTGTTTAGGGCAGTGGACACAATGCCCCACTGGTAGGAGAGACCAGACACAGCTCTTCCTTTCTTCCTAGTGAGTAATCTGATGGCATAAATGCTACATGAGGGGGGTCGGGGCGGCTGGTCTTGATGGGGTTCTTGTTTGATACCTACCGCTCCGTGGTGGAGAGATCTGCTTGGATTGTGAAATGCAAGGAAAAACTAAACCTAAAGCCCAAATTTCTGAGCAGAGTGATTCCAGTTTACTTTGGACCCATGTGGTTTTCTTAAGTAAATATTTATATCACTAGACATATGAAATCAATTGTTCTCTAAAGTTTCAATTATATTAAATTTATGTGACTCTCATATACATGCAATCACAGGTATCTAGCGATGCACATATATGCACAGAAGAAATTTGGTGACTGCTAATAGTTCAGGACTCCAGAATATATGATGTTGGACTTCTTCACTGAAGTGAAATGCTTTATTGTTGGTTCTTTTTAGTTTGGATAATGGAATCACAATGGTCTTACAACAACATTCACAACTGGACTTAACTTTGATTTTATAGGAATAAGTCAGCCATCTGAGGAGACTCTCAAATGGAGACTTTCTCCTATCTCTTCCCATCTTTTTCTGTAACTCTCATATTTTTTCTCAGTGGAAAAAATTGGTTAAAAATACATTTTCCTTGGGCCTCCCCTGGTGACACAGCGGTTGAGCGCTGGGTTGCGAGGCTGCCCGCAGCCTCTGCAGCTCCAGTTCGATCCCTGGCCACCGGCGAGGGTCCCACAAAAAAAAAAAAAAAAAAATACATTTTCCTCACTCTACTTTACAAATTCACGTGATATTCATTAGAATATAAATCTAGAGTATATAATACTAGAACAGTCTGGTGTGTAAATTTTAAAAAGTTGGTTCCAAAGAGCGAAATGCATAAATGGGAGTAAGTGAATGCGTGTTTGTGTTTTAAAGGGAGAGGAAAGTAAGAGGAGGTTTCTTTTCCAGTGTATAATGGTACCTTTGGAAGTTTTGGGTTTTAATAAAAGTTTGCAGTGTTGAATAAATTTTCGAAGTTTTGACTGTTGCCACATCTACTCCCCACAAAGACGCAATGTCGAGTTTGTACAAAGTGCAGATCATAATGTTTCTGGCAGTCGGTCAACACTTGGGGAAGATAATTAATATATAGCTCTGGGCTGTATTTACAGCAGCTCAACATCAGCATTGCTCCAACATTGTCACAAGCAGTTGACATTCTCAAGGACCCCCGTGCAAGCACAGACCTGCGGCTTTGATGACATTATCGATGACTTCCTTTGGGACTTGTTCATTACTTATGAACCTGACAGACCGTCTCATATTCAGAAGTTCATAAAATTCCTGGGACCTCTTCACCATGTCCTTCTCGGGGTACCGAGCGTGCGAGTACGGGATGTGTTCGACACTTTCCTCTGACTCTTGCCATTCATCAGCATCTGCGACTAAGAACAAGGCAGAGAGCAAATTAAACGACTGCTTCTTGTTCAAAAGATGGCCCTGGGGGATGGAGATAAAATTCTCAGAAATGTCTCTGTAAGGTTATGAGTTCAAAGACAGTGCCATAAAATGAGAAGAATAGATCTCTAGAGTCTTGAACACCTCTCTTGACTATCCTTCAATCCCCAGGCTGGTTACAAATCAAGAGAATAAAAAACCTTTCCTACACAAAGAGGAGGATGCAAATTTCTGTTAATGGTAAACTAGCTTATCTGAACAATCTCCCATCAGCAGAAAGCCACTAAGATCATTAAGAGGTTTTTTAAAAGTCCTTTTAAAATCATTGACTTGCTGACAAGGTAAGAAATGCCCAGGCCAAAACTGGGGGGGAAATATGTATGTGCAGAGGTAAATAAGCAGAGAATCTGCATTTGCCCTGATTGTATTTATCATCCCTTTACATCTGACTTTTCATGTTTATATCTTCAGGGATCTACAGCATAGGAGTCAATGGAAAGCCTAGTAAGCTGGAACTCCAACACTACATTCTGAGACAAAGTGTGAATTATAACTAACTCATACCCAAATGGTTATACCAACTTGATGGCTCCTCCCTCCAAACCTGGCCTTGGAAAAAGGTGGCCCCTTGAGACTATTTCCATTGACTAGCAGAAGCAAATGCCAACATAGAAATAATTTTAGGTGTAATTACCAAAACCCACCCAACAAAGTCAGGCATATTGAAAAGAAACAAAATATCATGGGCAAGATACAGCAAGTTTGAGTTTTTAAAACATCAGATGCTCAAAATTTCCAAATATTGGAATTGTCCCACTTAAAAGATGAAACAACTACAATCATTATATTTGGGGGGAAGACAAACATATAAACCTATAGGGTACAGAGGATAAAAGGTTACACAGAAAGTATGAAAATTAGAACTCCTAAAACAAAAAATTGAAATAATAGAAATCAGAACTTAATGGGTGGGTTTAATAACAGGTTAGATACAACTAAAAATCTTGGCGAACAGGAAAATATGTCAGAAGAAAATATTTATAGTGAAACCAGGAGAGACCAAAGATGTAAAACATAAAGGAAAAATCAAGAAAAATAGAGCAGAGTGAGAATGTCTAATATTTGATGACAGTCACAATAGGAGATGAGGCAGAGGCAGTATTTGAAGAGATAGGATCTAAGATTTTCCTAGAAATGATGAAACATACCAACTCTAGGGCCTCCCCCCGGTGGCGCAGCGGTTGAGCGCTGGGTTGCGAAGCTGCCCGCGGCCTCTGCGGCGCCAGTTCGATCCCCAGCTGCTCCCCGGCCACCGGAGGAGCGTCCCACATGGCGCGCAGACCTCTCCTGCCGCCTGCTGCTCCCCTCAGCAGTGTACTTCGGTCCTTCTGCCTGCTCTGCTCCCCGCTCTGCTCTGGTGAATTCTCTCACCCTCCCGCGCTTCTGACTGTACCCAGTGCATGTATAAAAAAACAAACAAAAACAAATAAATAAAACATGCCTCTAAAAAAAAAAAAAAATACCAACTCTATAGATTTAAGGGACCAGTTAATTTCAAGCATTATTAGAAAAAGAAACCCACATCTTTTATAATCAAATATATAATCTGTGGATTTTTGCTTGAAAATGATTTGTTCAGTCATCCATGTGTTGTACACTTGTCCAGCAAGTACACTTCATGCGTCACATAAGGACGTGATGATCATTGACTGATCACATATATGATGGTTACCCCAAAAGTCTAGACCACACAACCTAGATGTTTGCACAATGACAGTTGGCTGTATCCTCATCACTACATAATGCATAGCTGTATACTATATCTCACAATTAAGGCTTTTCTTTTTTTGAATGAGAATCAAGATTAGATCAACTGGGGCCTCCCTGGGTGTGCAAAGGGGTTGAGCGCAGCGCTGTGAAATTGTCTGCAGCCTCTGGGGGTTCCATCCTGGCCAGCCAGGGAGCAACCCACATGGCGAGGCAGACCTCTCCTGTCTCTCCCGCTGCTCCCCTCAGCAGTGTATTTCAGTCAGTCTGCCTGTTCTGTTCCCTGCTCTGTCTCTAGTGAATCCTCTCACCTCCCATGCCTCTGGCCTCTACCCCAGTTCTTGTAATCATAGGTAAATAAATCTTTAAAAAAAAAAAAAGATCAACTGACTAGACCTGTCTGATAAAGAGAAAAGACACCCAGCACTTTCTTTGTGAAGGTTCAAATGAGAACTGAGACCCTTAGTGATGAATTTCTTACCATGTTATAATTTTTCGAAGCGATTTTAAAACACTCCTGTTTCAGATTTAAAACATCCATGCCTTCAAGAAAGATTTGAACTGGAAACAATTAATGCCAAAGCAAACTTGAAAGTATAAACAATACTGCCCTTAGACACTGTTACCTTCTGAGCAAAGTAGCATAATACGAATCAGTGGGAACTAAATCCCCATTTTCTCACTTTCGTGCACAAGACTAGTGGGGGACGACGTGAGGATGTCACTGTTAAACCTCAGCTGGTCCCTAGAGCAGGTGGCTTGTGGCATTTCTGAGCATAAGTGTGAGTCTTGAAAAGGAAGAGTTAAGGGCCTCCCCGGTGGCTCAGCGGGCTGAGTGCAGTGCTGTGAAGCTGTCCGCAGCCTCTGCAGCACCGGTTTTATCCCAGCCGGCCAAGGAGATACCCACATGGTGTGGCAGACCTCTCCTGCCTCGCCACTGCTCCCCTCAGCAGTGTTTTTGGTCAATCTGCGTGTTCTGCTCCCCACTCTGTCTCTGGTGAATCCTCTCACCCCTCCCATACCTCTGGCCTGTACCCCAGTTTTTGAATAAAATAAATCTTAAAAAAAAAAGGAAAAAGGAAGAGTTAAGCTATCCTGAGGATAAAGTGGGGGGAATATAATTTGGGGAGCAAAGTCCTACAAGACAGAGACTTAAGTGAATAAGAAGAAAGGCCCGCCTCAAAATTATGGTAGGTGAGTGGTCGGGAAGTGGGGAAATCACTGAAAGAACAAAGGGGGGAGATTGCCACAGGCAAGGAGGCCTGGACAGAGTCACAAGGATCAGAAGTCCCTGAGCCAAACCTGAGAGCCAGAGGTTCCCCCAAGAGCACAAGCTCCCTGGAAATTCTGATTCATTGAGAGGGCGCAGCCTTCCCAAGTACCTGAAATAGCGGAATTGAGGATTCAATTACCGCCACCCCCATTTGGTGGGGGGTGAATAGGGTGAAATCAGTGTTGTCTGGATTACATAAGTTTTACCTTAGCTAAAAGAAACACAGCAGGAAAAAGTGAGGCAAGTTCTAAAGTTATATTTGCATTAGGTGCTGCCCAACTTTCTTCTTTTAGAAGTCTGTTCGGGAGAGGCCGAGAGCAATGGTTGTGCAATGTTTTGTTGTCTTTGTTGCTGGTGGTGGCATTTTGGGGAGGGTGACCCTTCCCCCAAATAAAAAAATAAATAAAAATCATACCCATAAAATAAAAATCCTGCCATATTATGGGTATGATCGTCTAGGGGAAAAACAGTTTCAACTGTATAATTATGTGTTTATAAGACACAATATCCTCTGCTTAACATTTAGTACTATGTCAGGTACATATTACGTTTAGCGAACTGTTACATACACACAACATCTTTTTAGTAAAGCTCCCAGTTTCCTCAGAGGCTGAGGACACACTCTATTTGACATGTCCTAGAGAACAAAATAGATGTGGTTTCTGTTCTTGGAGCCTCAACAGTTCATCAAGGCAGCAAGTGTGCACATGTGTAAAATCACAAACGGTGGCCACTGGGCAATCACGACTGCTTTTCCATGAAGAGGCAGAGAAAAAGGAGGTGTGTCCCAGAGAGGGAAGACAAATAGGGGGCCTTGAGGGGCGCGGCACCGAAAGCGAAACCTGAAGAATGCGGGTTTGGGACAGAGGGAGGGGCAAGGATGAGCAGCTGAGAAACCTAAGTGTGTCTGGATCGTATTGAGCAGTGGAGAGGCTGGTCTAGACGGCTTGGGAAACACGTAAGGGTCTACTTTGTGTCCCACCAAATATCCTCCGAACAAGACTGCGCTCAGCTGAGGTGCCAAAGGGAGGCATTAAGAGAGGGTGACGTGTTAGGGTATGACGAGAGGGAGACAAGAGTGGGAAAGGAAGGCTGGGAAGAGGCTATTGCAGCAACCTGGGCGAGGGGTGGTGTTGGCCTGGGCCCGCTGGGCAGCAGAAAGAATGACAATGTGGGCAGTTTCTTGAAGCCTCTGGGAGATAAAAGTGATAAGGCTTGCTTAGGTACCTGAGTCATTCAAATGGAGATATTAAGCATAACTGACAATGCCCTGAAGGTCAGACGACACTTGGGAGCCCTTGTTTAAAGATGAGAATGACGCAGAGGGACAGAGGAAGATGATCCAAGGCCTGGCCCTGCCGGTCTGGAATATTCCGGGTGGAATTCCAATAGAGAACTAAACTATCCCCCACTGGCACCCACACCTTCACTCCTGGTGTGTGAGGATGGGGACCAGGGAAGCTCATGATAAGGGACTGACTTCTGAAGCAGGAGGACCCCAGCTACAGTATTAGGGGGGCAGTGGTCTGCTCTGAGCTTAGCAAGAAGCATCTTCTCATAGATTTCCAATGGGGCAGTTTGGGCCCAGACTGAGCATGTGCAGTGAGAAGGTCCAGTTACTAAGTTCAGAGGCAGCGAGTGTGACGGGGGTGTGGCAACACGCACCTATCAGCTTTCTGGCCGTCAGTTCTGAACCAAAGCCAGATGTCATCAATATCAGCCCTGACCTTGATGACTTTGTCCATAGAGGTCTTTACCACCAGGGATACTTTTGCTCCATTTGTTCTGTTCATCTGACGACCTCTGTGGTCAGTAAGTGGTGAGTGAGCAAGCGCATCAAACAGCCCTTGACTGGAAGGCCGGCTACCGACACTGAAGACATTCAGAGGGTGCGTCAGCTAACGGCACCCCATCTGCATGACCTGGCAGCTGTGCAGAGTCTAAAGTCCAGGCTGGTGCTGCTGCTACCCCAACCCTTACCTGCAGATTTAAAAAGTGGCTGCCTGAGTTCTAGCAGCATGCTTTTGTCTGAGTAGGGTGGATACAGGGCCTCATCCACGCTTATGTCTGAGCAGGGTGGATAGAGGGCCTCACCCTCGGGGTCCAATTGTCCAGAAAGCTCTTCCAACAGAGCAGAGCAGAGGGAGCTGCTGGTCCTGCAGCCCACGGAAGGGCCAGTCTGAGTCTGCCTGGGTCACAGGGCAGGCATGGCCAGGCTTGGAGAGGAACTGCAGGGCAGTGAGCAAAGACAATGGGGCCACTTCTCTGCTTCTCTTTGAACTCTTCACTGCCCCCAGGAATGTGGCCTCACCAAGAGGAAAGAGTCGCCTCAGTAAACTGTGAAGATGGCCTGCCTCCACCCCGACCAGCCAAGCCACTCCAGGGGACTGGTTGAAGCCCACGTATTCCAGAAACAAATTCAAGCTCTTGTGGTCTGCTTTTTCATCCATGTTCTGAGCTTTAATCCAAAGCCACACATGGGGTTTGCCATTGAAACCAAGAACAACTCACCTTTCATCACTGCTTTCATGCCCACGGGTCCTAAATTGCTCCATAATTAGGTGTACCAGCCGGTAATTCCAGGCTATGTCTATTCTTTTCTATTTAGCACAGAGGTAATTTTCTGGCTGCATGTCTAAATTGCTTTTGTGTTTTTGTAGGCCGACTTCAAATCTCTGCAAATGGGCCAAAGCGTTTCTATCCACAAAACCATCAAGGTCAATGGTGTCACGTCATCTTATTCTCCTCCTGAAATTTTGGGGGAGGCCAAGGAGCAATATCAACAAGGCCAGGGAGGTGCAGCTCTCACAGTAAACAGATTCTGAAGGTGGGGATGGAGCAACCCCAAGACTCCACATTGGACCCGAGCGGGAGGAAAGTGAAGGCTTCCTTCCCAGCTACCTCTGCTCCTACTGGGCCTGCGCCGTTCCCCCCTGAGGGCAACTGGCTTGACTGTCTCACCAGCACCTCCCTGGGGAGTGGGGCTGCCGAGGCTGCTGCGGTGACTAGATGGGAAGACCAGGAGTAGAGCTTTGCTATCCCAAGAGAAGCTGCTAGAACTTGCTTTCCGAACCCTTGATCCCCGGGGTCCCGGTGCTAACCTTCACTGAGATGCCCCAGGAGGATCCACCCAGACTGGCCCATCTCAAAGACAATCTCTACACTCAAGTCCTTTCCCTTCCCAGTCTCTCCTCTGCCCTCTGTCCTTCCACCTCAAGGTCTTACAGGAGTCTTAATAAACCACCCTGGTTCAATTAGCCACGCAAACTTCTTAAAGGACAGCTGTGTCAAAGGATGATGGAAGAAGAGGAAGCAGAAGGTGTTGTTTCCCATAACAAAGCAGCGCTGTGCTGGGTGCTCGCACTGAGCCCGGGGAACGCTGGCCCTGATGGATGTCCAGGGAGGCGCTGGGGACAGAGGCCTGATGAATGACACTTGCCGGTTTCTATGTCACAAACACTCCCATTGCACTGTGATTTCAAGCTACCCATGGCTGAAGGAATAATCCATAAAATCCCCGAATACTTCACAACTGGCTCTCGCTAGCACCACCGGCTAAGGCCAGCAGCCACACCAGGTGGACCCCAGGGCGTCAGTCACCTGGGAGCAGCGTACCTGGTAGAGACTGCTGGTGCCTGGTTGGCACTCTGAGGGGCGGGCCCTCAGGGTGGGTGCACCCCTTATTGGCTGGCTCGCAGAGGCAGAGGCAGCTCCTGATTGGTGGCTTGCTAAGCTCTCGCTGAGATGAGTTGTCCTTGAGCCATGGAACAGGTTTGAAATTGGTTCTGAAAGCTGCTGGTTGCCATGGATACAGAAAAACCTGCCCTTCCCTAAGTTTGTTAAATCTCAGAGGTCACCCACAGTAGAAGAACGTTTTAACACAGGTCTTTCTTAACAGTGACAGGACAGCCCAGGACAATCAAAATTTCAGTTAGAATAACAGCTTTTTGGATGGTCAGTGAAGCTTAATGGAGAACCTCCCCCCCCCCACACACACACACGCTTTCCAATGGGCACGCCCTCGTGAGCTATGCTGCTTCTAGCTTTTCCTCCTATTTCTATTTCCATGAGTTTTCATGAATCTGGACCTGACTAGGGAATTTTTATGCAGGACTTTGGGTTCAGTCTGAGATTTTTCTCTTTGAGATAAACAGCCCCAGTTCTTTTGCCCTCTGATAATAGACACACAAGTGTGTGCATTCCCTAAAGGAGGCAGGTGTTGATATCTAAGAGCACAGCCTCTCTATGCCCCCACTTATTCTCCTTGCCCCCCCATTTCCTGGTCTATAAAGAGGAACAGGATTCTTTGTGAAAGTTGGAGGTTGGACTGTATGCATATTTTCCTGAGTTCACACCGGTGTGCCTGACCACACTTCATGTGCTGTTTTGTCTCATGTTAATTTCCAGAATGGTTTGAACCAGGTATCCTTGGTCTTCAGACCCATTCCTGTGTTTCTTCAGTATGGGGTCCTCTCTCCACTTCAGTGACACCCCCCTCACCTTTGGAACCCACGGTACCAGCAGGTAATCCTGTCTCCCACCATCTCCACCCATGCAGTGGTTAGGAGCAGGGACTTGGGTGGTGGAAGAGCTTGAGCTTAAACACTGGTTGTCACGTGGCACCTCAGCAATATGGCTTGAGTAAACAACAAATATTCCCACAAGGGACAGTGACCTCTGCATGCAGGCAAAATTTGCCATAACTGCTGAGGAGGTCACTGGGTGACCTCTCTGCAGGAGGAACAGAGAATGAAGAGGCAGAGGATTCTGAAAAATGAGTTGCAGACAGAGAGTGAGGTAGGGTCATATGGTTTTGCTCTGTTCTTCACCTCCAGACCCAGTTCCAGGCCACTGGCTCCCCACCAGCCTTATCAGTCCTTTTTGTGTCCCCACAGTCTGCTTGCTGGCTCTTCAGATCCAGTGGCCTTGCCTCAAAGCGTGCTCCCTCTGATGTCTCAGGGAATTGTCAGCCTCCTGACCATCTCCTGCTCTCCTGCTGGGAAGGCAGCCTCACAAGCTGGCTGTCCGCCTGGACTCTGCAGCCTGACTGCCTGGGTCCAGGTTCTACCTGCTGGGGTGGGTGACAGCCTATTTGAGCCTCAGTTTCCTTTCTGTAATATGAAGATAGTAACAGCGCCGAGCTCGCTCTGAGCAGAGAACCACATATAAAATGTGACGCTGACCGCACACGGTAAGTGCTATTTAAGGGCTTGTTGTTAGTATCATCCAGGAGTTCCCTGCCCCGTGTCTTCTTTTCCATCATCCACTTCTCCCTCCAGCTTCCTCTGATCTGCAGGTTCTAGCCTCAGCCTCTCTCCCTCCATAGCTCCTTCGGGAACCCATTCATTTTGCAAGTTCCCAGCAGCCCTCCATGCTTCAGCATCACTCCTGTAGAAGCTGACATCCTCCGCTACACTCAACTCCTTCCCCTTCCAAGTGGATGCTCTTCCCTTTCCGGTTTATCACAGCATCATTCTGACTCTTCAACCTGCAATACTCACTCACCCTCCGCTTTTTCTCCCCAAATCTGCCTTATGACCAAAACCTGTTCTTCCTCTCACTTCACCTTCTGATTGATTCCCACAGCCACCCCCACCCCGCACATGCCCTGGACCAGCCATGACACAGCTCCCTGGGGATGGTCCTCTGCTCAAGGGGGTGCCTCTCGTAGTGCCTCTCCTGGGCCCTGGCCTGTGCAGTAGGCTCAGTATTGCTGCCTACCCAGTGATGCCAGCTGTATACCCCAACAACCCTCCCAGCAGCGATGCCAGCTGTATACCCCACCACTCAATCCTGACATTAGGACAACTCAGGCCACACATGCTCACAAGCACACACACGCTTATACACACACTGCCACCCACACACACTTTCCAGGTGGCCTCTGTTGGAGGGCGTGGGTATTACTAATGCAGCTGAGAATCATTGAGTCTCTCCCAAATCAAACCCATCTCAAAGCCACTTTGTGAGATAACCCTCAAACATGGATTACTCCAGAAGTAGCTACAAATAAGGCCCTTCAGAACTGCCCCATCCTGCCAGCCTGCTTTACCCCCTCTTCTTTCTCAACCCAACTATAACCTGGCCCACCCTTACCCCTGTCACCTTCACCCCTGTCCTGGTCAGCACAGTGCCCCTGTCCCCCCAGCACTAATGCTCCTGCTCCTCGCACCTGAGATGCCTCCTAACCCTTGCAGTTCACATGCCAATATCCTCCAGGTGGGCACAGCTGGCCCCTAGCTGCCCCCCACACACCCCACACACCCCCTTGAGCCTTCTTGAAATGCCTTATAATCCTCCTCCTAGGCCAGCTCTGCATTACTCCCGTGGTTGCCTGTTCAGTGCCTTGTTTACTGAATTGAACACTCCTCTTCGAGAACAGTGGCCACCTTCAGCTTCTCACCCAGTAGCAAGGCTCTAGAGAGATGCCACTTTTTTAATTTCAAAGCTCTTGAGCCAAACCTGACCACTCGTGTCACAATCACCAGCAGCCTGCGATGTGCCCCTTGAATAGGAGGGAATAGAACTGGAGCCAAGGGAAGTGTCAGCTCCCCCATGACTTTTTTATGGGTTAACTTATAATAAAGGGGGCTTGGTGCCAGCAAGTGCCAAGCCGAGCACTGGAGAGCAAGGATGTCTGTCACACACGCATTCTTTACAGAACACGGGCTGATGATGCAATTGACCTGCATCAGTTTTGTCCCCTGCCTGAGCCCCGCTGTTCACTAGCTCCCATTATAAAAGTGCTAACTGTCCACCCCTAGCAGCTCCGCCAGGGTCTTTACCTTCTTCCGCTTGCTGGAGGTCAGTATTGTCTTTTAAGTCTTCATCCACCCAGGGCCGAGCCTCTGCCCTCTTTCTAGCCAACTCCTTCCTTTTCTCGATGCTTCCATCAGCATTTTTAAAGATCCACACAATCAAAATGCAGACAACTGCTACCAAGGCTGGCGTCAGGAAAAACATGATTGTGAGACTGAGCCAGACAGACAGGCAGGAGGAATGCCACCAGGAGGTGGGGTAAAGGAAGGGAGAGGCGGGTCTGGAGGAAGGAGAACTCTAGCTCTGCGAGGACTTTGAAAGGGCAAAGATCACAGCCCTGGGCATTGGGGTGTGTTGTGGGATGGCAATATGCAAGTACACTCACTTTTTAAACTGTGTGCTCAATCAATACATCCTTCCACAATAGTCGCCAGGCTCTCGGTAACCCCTTGAATGCACAGTGTAGCGCCAGCAAGGCACAGAGCATGATCCGGGCAGATGGGATCATATGACCCGGGCATAGGAGAGTCCTGGAATCATCTGTGGCTTTCCAGGCTTTTATGGAGCTTTTTACACCATTTCTAGTGCTGCACACAGGTACACGGCAGGCCGGGAGGCAGGCAGGCCTCTCAGCCCCCCGCGAGTCTTCACTCTTTCTGGACTCTTGGGCGTTCTCTTGTTTCTCTCCGGTCTCTGCTTCTGTTTCTCCTTTGCTGCTCTGCTGGGACTGCTCTTGTTCTGCTGGCATCCCATGACGCCATCCTTACAAGCCCAGTCTCTGAGCCCAGGTGTGCCCACCTACTCCAGGTGCCCACCGTCAGGCATGCGTGTAGGACCACAGAGATCTATCATTAAGCTAATGGTGGGAGGGCGGAAAAGCCTGACAATTCTTTACTTACCCTACACACGGCCTCTTGCTAGCAACGCTGGGCAGGGAGGCGCATGATTTTCCTCCACTGTGACTGTTCTCTGAGTGCAACATGTCTTCAGCTTGCCGGAAGCTAGGAATTACCTGGAGAACATGTTTCTAAAACAGCAGATTTCCAGCAGCCAGTTCCCAACCGCTGAAGGAAAATCTGCAGGAAGGAAAGCTAATCATCTATCTGCCTTCTAAAGCATCATGTTTGTGAAATACTGCCCCGAGGCTTTGATTTATTTTTTAAAATGAAGTCTGAGCCAACACAGGGAGTGAAAAATGCTTATGCTTGGCATTTAGAAAAACTTTGATCCAGGAACAGTGGTACGAAAGAATGAACATGACTATCTGGTTAATTATATAATAAAATAAGGAGGACTTTCTTTTTGTTTTTTAGCAAATGTCTTATTTAGTTTGGGCTTCTATCACAAAAATATCATAGACAAGGGGACTTGTACAACAGAAATGGACTTCTTACAGCTCTGCAGCCTGGGAAGGCCCAGGTCGCTGCGCTGGTTGTTTGGGGAGAGCCTCGACCTCATTTGCAGGGGACACCTGCCCACAGTGCCCTCTTCTGGCAGAGAGGGAGGTCGCACCTCTCCTGTCCCTTACAGGGGAAGGAATCTGATTCATGAGGGCCCCACCCTCACACCCGAATTACCTCCCCAAAACCCCACCTCCTAATACCACCTCATGGGGCATTAGGACTTCAGCACATGAATTTGGGAGAGGAGGAAACAAAACCTGCAGTCTTTTGCAGCAAAGTGCTGGACTGTGTATAATTTACCATTTGAGTAAAAGCAGAAAACCCTATATTTTTTTCTGGCTTGTATATAAAATTAAAACAGTGGCTCTATCTGCACTGGTTTTTCAACTACTAGTGACTATATTCACTTCAAAATAAATAGTTAATAAACAACAGCGGTTACTTGTGACGGAGAGGGTGCGGCTATTGGACAGGGCACAGGGGTAGAAGAGAGAATTTTACTGCTATTATTCCATAATTTTAAAGGTTTGAACTATCATGAATAGTTTCAAATTTCTTTAATATTCAAAAATTAGAACTGTGAGTGGGAGTCAATTAAGCAGACAGAGAGAAAAGGTCCTCCAGGCGGAGGTGAAGGTGTGGGTAAGTGCTTTGAAAGGAGGGTGGACAAAGGATGCAGGGAGCCAGCTGAGGCTGAGAGCTAAGTACATGCTAGAAGGTGCTGGTCTTTGTGGTCAGCTAATGAAGTGTTTTCTTTACCCTAAAATGGAACGTGGTGATAGCTGTCAATTATTGCATGCTTAGCACACGTTACCAGGTTCTTTCCTTAGCACATATTAGCTCCTGTCTCATAACAGCCTGTGCAATAGGCCCCATTGTTATCCCCATTTTACAGATGAAGGAAATAAAGCACAAGGAGGTTAAGTGATCTGTTTAAAGTCAGGTTTATACACATGGATGAGAAGTCATCTGTGGGTGTTAGCCTAAAATGGCCTCATGTCATTTATGTCTTTATAGAAAGTGAGGACCCCCCACCTTGGCAATTCCTATGTTGAAACCCTGATTTCAAAGTGTTGGTACTGGAAGTGGGACTTTTAGAAAGTAATTAGGTCATGAGGGTGGAGCCCTTGTGGATGGCATTAGTGTCCTTACAAGAAGAGGACACAAAAATGCATGTTTCCAAATGTTTTTTGTCACCCCAAAAAGAAAATGTATAGCTATTAAGTAATAACTCATCTCTTCACTTCCCCCAAGCCCCTGATGATTCACTTCCTGTCTCTATGATTTTGACTATTCTACATGCCTCATATAAGTGGAATTATGCAAGCTCCATCCTATTGTGATGGCCTTCACTTAGCATTAATGTCTTCAAGGTTGACCCATGTTCTAGCTGGTTTCATGGCTGAGTGTGTGCTACTTATTTTTATCACTAAAGAATATACTAACTTGGTCCTCCCTGGTGGCCTAGAAGTTAAGTCTCAACACTGTCACCTCCATGGCCCGAGTTCAATTCCCTGCCACATGGTGCAGCAGACCTCTCCTGTCTCACCCACCACTCCCCTCAGCAGTGTATTTCAGTAAATCTACCTGCTCTGCTCCCCACTCTGTCTCTGGTGAATCTTCTGATCCCCCATACCTCTGGCTTACACCCCAGTTCTTCTACACAAAAGTAAATAAAATCTTAAAAAAAGGAAATATTAAATCAATACTTTGTGACGCTTTAGGAAGAACATCACAGTGTAGAGCAATGAGTGAACAATGATAGAGGTGCACACAGGGGCCTTCATGCAGCGTGAACTGGACAAGAGCCCACCAGGGACATGAAGCTTTTACTCAGTCTTGACAAGCCCTAAGTCATCTGAGACTGTGTTACTCAGTGTCTGATACAGAGCTGGTGCCAGAATGAAATCGAGTCAACACACGGTTCACTTCCTCAAGAAGGACATGATCGTACAGGGTTGATTTTCCTGAACTTGCTTTCATGTGCTCTGATGTTCCATGTCTCATGTTTTGATAGTGAAATTGCGGCAGGACTGGCCAGTCTTCAGACCATGTCGTGAAAAGGACTATTCTAGAAAACACATTTTCCTGAGACACACCTAGGATTTTTAATCTTCCATGCTGACATTCAATCTAATTAGCCCTCCCTAATGCCCCATAAGCTTAACTTCTGGGGAAATCAAATGAGCATGAAAGAGAACTTTGCAGGAAAAACATGTCTTGGAGCATTGAGTGAGGTTACATGATTTTACTGGTTCACACACAGGCTGTTATCAAACATTTCTAGCAGTGCTTATTTAATGTTATTCAAGTGTTATAGCAAGAGTTTAAGTTAAAGACTTGAGTGGAATGTGCCTGTGTATACTTATAATCTTATCTGAGTCCAGGTGTGAACTTGGGAAGACACAAGGAATTAACAAATGTCTTTAAACCTGACCTCACCTATACACGAGCCACACTCACTAGTAGAATCAACAGCCTAACTGCCCGAGAGTTGCATGATGCTGACCTTTATATTACATGCAAGTCCTGTGTGTTTACCTTTTATGTGCATCACCCACTTAATCTACTGGATTCAACCCACTTTATAAGAAACTCCACTTCTCCAGCAATTCCTCTTGGGGATCTATACACAAAAGAATGGAAAGCAGAGTATCAAAATCACATTTGCACACTCATGTTTATAGCAGTATTTCCTTCCTAAGCAAGAGGCAGAAACAACCCAAGTGTCAATGGAAGGACAGATGGGCAAACATCTGTGCTCTATACATAAAGCAAAGAATTCTGACCCACTGACCACATTACAACACGGATGAACCTCAAAGATACTGCACAGAATGAAAAAAGCCAGTCACAAAAAAGACAAACATGGATGATTCCACTTATAGTCAAATTCATAGAGGCAGGAAGGAGAAGACCACTTCCTGGGGGGCAGGGAAGGGGAGTTATTGTCTAGTGGGACAGTTTCAGTTTTGCCCTGACAATGAAGCCAGTTCCAGAGAGGGATGGTAGTGATGGGGTTCCAGCAGCCTAATGTACTTAATACTGTTGATCTGTACACATTAAAATACTTAAGACAGTAAGTTTTCTGCTATGTGCATTTTATCACAATTAACATTTTTAGCTGAAAAAAATAATAAACCTCCACTGCCCTGAAAAGACAAAGATGAAGAGTTGTCACACTATGTTTAAGGCAGAGTGAATGACTCAGAACTGGGTCCTCAAAATGTGGTCCTGTTACCAATGGAATTGAATAGGAAATCCAGAAATAAACCCACAGATTTATGGTCAACTAATATTTGACAAAGGAGCAAAGAACATGCACTGGAGCAAAGAAAGTTTGTTCAATAAATGGTGCTGGGAAAACTGGGTCGCTACATGCCAAAGAATGAAACTTGACTAATACCTCACACCATGCACAAAAACCAACACAAAATGGATTAGAAAACTAGACATAAGACCTGAAACCATAAAATATATATAAGGAAATATAGGCAAAACACTACATGACATGCACCTTGAAGACATCTTTACAGAGACATCACCCAAAGCAGTGATAGTGAAGGCAAAGATCAACAGCTGGGACTACATCAAATTAAAGAGCTTCTGCACAGCAAAGGAGACAATAACCAAAACAAAGAGAAACCCCACCAACTGGGAGAACATTTTTGCATCCAACACTAATGATAAAGGACTGATCACAAAAATCTGCAAAGAGCTGATGAGACTCAACAACAACAAAGAAAATAACCCAGTCAAAAAATGGGCAGAAGAGCTTAAAAGAAACTTCTCTGAAGAGGAAATGCAAATGGCCAACAGGCATATGAAAAAATGTTCAACATCACTTGTCATCAGGGAAATGCAAATCAAAACTACCATGAGATACCATCTTACACCAGTGAGAATGGCACATATTAAAAAAACTAGCAACAACAAATGTTGGCGAGGGTGTGGAGAAAAAGGAACTCTCCTGCACTGCTGGTGGGAGTGCAAACTGGTCCAACCACTGTGGAAAGCTGTGTGGAGATTTCTGGACCTACTAAACATAGAGCTTCCATAGGATCCAGCAATTCCACTCCTAGGTATTTACCCAAAGGACACAGAAACATCCATTCCAAAGAGCACCTGCACCCCTATGTTTATAGCAGCACTATTTACAATAGCTAAGCTTTGGAAACAACCCAAATTCCCAAAAATAGATGACTGGATCAAGAAGATGTGGTGCCTATACACCATGGACTATTACTCAGCATTCAAAAAAGATAAACACATGCCATTTGCAGCAACATGGATGGCGCTGGAAGGGATCATGCTCAGCGAAATAAGCCAGAAAGAAAAAGAAAAATACTGGATGGTCTCACTCATAGCAGGAATCTAGAAAACTTAAATAAGGGACCAGGAAAATGAATAACTATCAGAAAGTAAATATCAAAATCAATAAACAGCTATGAACAACTACCACCTGTGCCACCAGGGAGGCCCTAGAGATACTCTATGGGAGTTAGGGGGTGGGGAGGGGAGGGATTGGGGTCAAATAAGGGGGTCGCAGTTGTAT